ACACCCAGTATTTGGGTATCATAGCCATTAGCATGCCAAAGATGGGAAAATGTTGGGCATGAGTTTTATTTTTATTGTAAACTACAGTTATGGACAAGAAATATTATATACACTACTGCTGCAAGATGAAAATGCTATTGTGGCAGTTTAAAAAACGCCACTCTCAAATGGAATATCTGTATTATATATGTTTATTAAAAGATCTGTGTATACAACTACATTATATCATGCTGTGAAATGTAATACCTATGTGAGATATGTCAGCAATACTGAGTTTTTAAATGCATGTTGTTGATATCTSTCTAGGTAATTTGATTACAGTGTGTATGATAAGACTTTGAAGYAATTAGAGCGAAAATGGATCCAACCAATTTTCAAGACACTAGCTGTATTTACATCATGCTTACAAATAATAAATGATTGATTGAAATAGCCCTCCTTTTATATATCTGAAACAACAAAATAGTCTACACATTTTTACAGTAAACTTTTATTATTTTTCAATCCTCACAATAAAAAGGAAATAATAACAATTAAAAGATAATTTATGAGCAAAGTTTTTTGTTAGCATTACATGTAAATTATTTAAGTGTGTTTGGTACATATCTTTCATGAACTTCATCAATTATGTAGATATTTTCTCATACTATTTGGAGTATTGTATAAAGCCTTGTTATGTACAATTTCAAATGATATAATATAATAATAGTGATAAATTAGGATCAAAATTCTGCACAACATTCCTTTGACTTCTGGTTTCACTGTTGCAAATAATATTACACATCCAACTCTTGGCACTCTTTGACAGCACAAGATTTCACCAAAAGTCTTCATACAGTATTATTATACAGGACAGGGGAACAGTGTCATCGTCGTCGGCAGAAACCTCCTTGTCAATCACTCTTAATACCACCATTAGCAGCTACAGGTATACCATTAGCAGTTTTGTCTGGCATTTCTTCAGGATTTTTACTTTGTTTATCATTTTCTTTACTTTCCTGTGTGAACAAAATGGAGTTTTTTGGAGTCAGATGTTTCATATTTATGATTAATATTCCATTGCAATAAAAAGGACATAGCCAGTACTATATAATTTGAGCACCTGTAACATCATAAAGCGATTAACTGCTTTATCAGGCACAGGAAACTGTGTGGGGCAATGTTTTTTGTTTTGTTGTTCAGTCACTTTTGTTGTGCAACCAATCAACCCTTTAATGAAGTACTAAATACATCACCTATTTTCTGATATCAATACATCACTAACCAAGGTATAAAGAAATAATCAATCAATTCTTTTCCTGTCCTACTAGGAGGTCCTTACACACTCCCTTACATCACAATATAACATCCTACAGCAGTATGCACGGCCCATTGCTTTTCTTTATTCTCTTAGACACTCCTGTTTTTCACTTCCTTTCTGAGTCATGAACTTAGTCAAACATCTTTTTTGTGTACACATGTGTTTCAAACAACAGAAAAATCCACTGCTTTGTCAACAGTACTACATGTATCTGATAGAACTGTCATGCAGCCAGAACTTCTGGTTGCTAATTCATACCAGTTGTTTGGAAACATTATGCCAAGCGTTGTATAACTTAAGCTTATATAGTTGCGCATCAATTTTCATGTGTTTTCCTTGTCGAGACAAAAAAAAAATACTCTTCAATACCGTCGGTTGATTAAAGAATTATAAATTTATGGACACTAATTCTGCCCTATAAAACACCACACTGTAAGCATACTTACTGCAGTAATCATTTTACTCGGCGTCTTCCCATACCATCTATCGATCAGAGGTTGAATAAACTTGTGCCATATGAACAAAGCCAAAGGCACAAGTACACACGAAATTCATACCATCTTGAAGTATAAAGTCTAAGGACTCCCTTCTATAAAGTTTTAGCGAGATCAGAGCGAATTACAAAGAATCCTTGATCTCACAACACAATTCTTGATCAAATGTTGACGATTATGAAACACTTTTTTGTCGATGTGCGTTCCAAACATGATCTTACGAAATAATTTTATGAACCGACGTTTGATTGGATATCAATTATAGTATCCAATCATATGCTTCGTTATAAGAAAGTGTACTGCTGACCTACTTACTGCAGGCTCAAATGGATATACCGCTGACTTGAGCCTAATTTCAAGATGGAGGCTGCACTGGTAAAATAAACATTATTATTAATATTTTYAAACAAAAGGAGATTTCAAGTCGTGTGAAAATTCATCTAATGTATATGTATATTGGTGTTGATATAATTTATTTGAATTTATTTTTATTTGTAGGAATCTTTGAAAAACATTGCAGATTCCGGTAGAGTCGAACCGGCGTTAAAGTTGATAAAAGTGTACTTCGATAATATAACTAAAGAACCAGATAATCCTAAATATCGAAAAATACGTGTTGGTGAGTTCAGAGGATATGAAGATACTCTTTTGTCTATTCACGGTTGAATGGCTCAATGCCAATCACGCATGAAAATCTTTGAGGTCTTTGCATGTGAATATCCTAAAGCTCCATTAAACTTAATAACAAGTAGACGTTTTCTCTTGAAGAAAATGCGAAATTCAATGCAACTATCTGGCAGCTTGAAGAGGCAAGGACCTTTTTGCTACTTGCAGGATTTGAGCAGGTATTCTTTCACTTTCCTCTTTTCACTATCCTTTTCACTTCAATACATGTGCTTTTTTGATTGATATTTGATCCTTAGATTTTCATTCAATCATTCATCTGTTCATTCATTTACTTCTCTATCTATTCATTTGTTCATGATGTTTTTTATTCATCCATCCATTTTCCCTGCAACTATTCTTTTCCTCCATTTGTTTATCCAGCACTCATTTATAATGCGTTTCTCTTGTTATTTTTATTTTTCATTTTCTGTTTCATAGAATGGAGAATTTCTTACGTTGCCAGACAGCGTCAATATAGATACAGCCAGGCTTATGATTGAAAGCTGCATYGGAYCTACTCAAAGTGTACCATATMAACAAAGTGAAGGATGTAGTRGTGCTAGTAGTCTACCATTACCAGRAGCTGGACCAAACAAAGCAACATTGAAACTTACACCAAACAAGGGAAGTAGCTATTTTGATCAAGACGTCAAGGCAAACCTYACTCTTTTATCATACATGGTTGAAATGGGATTTGATAAAAGTTCGGCTGAGCAAGCTTTAATTKCTACTAAAAATGTTGGAATTCAGCCAGCTATGGATTGGTAAGGATTGCAGTAAAAATATAGAAGGGGATAYTCATTCAAAAGCCTGCTTGTACGTTTGCATATTTACCAAATAAGACCACAACYAGTTTGAGTGAACTATGAGYTGATYGTACATTATACACMTTTTTTGAGCTTTAGATTATTCAATTTATTCATTTGTAGGCTTTCAAGCAATTCCCATTTAATACATCACAAGGGAGCGGCAAGTACATGTACTGCTGTTAGTCCTGACAATGTTTCATCATCAATCATGGGTCTCAGTACATCTGATACCAAAGTGAGTGGACTCTCAAACAAAGTCCTAGTAAAAGGACTGATCATCCATTATTTGGTTATAATTCTCTATTGAGCTAAAGTAAACTGGTTTAYACAAATTTGTTTTTGGTGATGATGTTTATTTTGATTATAATTTTAGCCAGCCCCAACTTCACGTTATCAAAAGACTGCTGATGAAAGACACAAATTTCAGGAGAAACTCAGACTAGAGGCCATAGAAGCCGCAAGGTAAATTTCTTTATGACCCTTGCAATCAACTCATTTGCAATTTTAATCTAAAAAATAGTGTTTATTGTTAATATTGTTGATGTCAATAATTATTCATTTTTATTTGCTGTACAGGGTTGAAAAGATAGCAAAACAACAGCACAAAGAAAATCTATTGAAGGAAATGCATTCTGACAAAGAAGAAAAGAGAGTTAAGGTGCAAAAAACTTATTGAAAATAATATTATTCAGATCAGTTATTATTGCAACAAATAGMAATGAACAGCATTCATGGTGAATAATTATTGTTTCTGTCCTAATACTTTTAGTATGAAATGGCTAAAAAGCCCAAAACATCAGCAGAGACGTCAGAAGGTCTTTCCTCAACCAGCTCTTGTGAAGTAAGAGAACCTGGTGAAACGGTTGGCTCTCCATCACAAGAACAGAAAACTCAACTGAAAATAAGACTGCCAGATGGAAAGGTAAATTAAACTTGTAAAGATCCTGTTTGTGAAATAGTTTTGTTGGTGTGAATGGGATCTATGAGCTGAAACTGCTTTATTTGTAATTTAGACTTGTAGTTGAGCAAATGGCAACAATTACATAAAAGCAAATGGTTTTGTAATATCTAAATCTTTTGATAGATAACAGAACTTTATCTCTCAAGTGATGAACTTATCAAGGAAATATATCGGTAAGCTTCAAATGGCGGCATGGAGATCTATTGAGAGGTGATCCCCAGGAAATTGACAAATAGTGATCGTTCTGGGTTCTGGTTAGTTGGCTCCCAGAGCAGTTTCTCCTCAGCAGACATAGCAGATAGATCTTCATTGATGTGTCTTCCAATAAACCAATTAATCAACCAATTAGCCAACAATTTCTTTCTTATATTTTGATAGACATGTGACAAGGACAGCTGATATGAAYGAAAATGATTTTGTTATCATGACAATGTATCCTCAAACTGAATTGARTGACATGACACTGASTGTGGAAATGGCTGGTAGGTATCAACAAAATCAATACTAAAAACTGTAATTAACTGATCAGGCTAATTATATGCCCCTTCTTTTATGTTGTATTTACAAGGTCTGACCCCTCGAGCAAATVTTGTTGTTCTACGGCAAGATCAACAAGGAGTTGTTACAGAAGGTCAYGGTAAAGGTAAGAGAATTTAKTACATTTTTTGTTGGATTTAATTGCTAGATAATTGAATCTTTTCATTTTAGTTTGCACTGTTAAAACCATCACAAGTATGGATGACTGGCAATCCTTCTACAACACCAAAGACAAGCTACTAGTTGTTGAATTCTTCACTTCTTGGTATTCTTATGCTTTAGTATTGACTGTTTTCWGAAATGTGGAAACTTCAAAGAGACCTTATAGTTTAATATTGGCGATGTAGTGTCTGATTATTTTGATTTTACTTCTAGGTGTGCCAAATGCAGRAGTATTGCTGACAAATTTGAGTCTCTGAATGCTGAATRTGGCATCAACCAAGCTGTTCTATTTGCACGGGTTGACATTGACCAGCTCAAAGTAATACTTTTTTACATTCTGTGTTTGTGAAGAAAAGAATCCCAATCATTACTTTGTTATTGTTCACAGGTGTTGAAATACCACATGCATATATCAACACTTCCCACATTCAAACTTTACTGGAATGAACATGTAAGTTRATAACACCATATTTTAGAACAATAYAGCAACCATCTTGAATCTATAGTTTTTGGTTAAGAATTTTTCTTGTGATGATATTGGAAAGAAWTTGGGTGTTTCATTAACTGAGCACTGCTYTGGTGCCAATATTCATGTRAATTTACAGCATAATAATGTATAAAAGTTTTTTTCATGGAATATACTTGTGTTTGTACCATTTTAACAAAGTTTATTCTTTCTTGAAAGGAAATTGCTACACTAGAGGGTGTGAACATGRATGAGCTTGAAGAATTAATCAAGAAAAACTGTCAAGGACCTGATGAAACACAATTAACTGATCAAGATCCAAGATAGCTTCATATTCATGGCTTTTAATAACTTTTGTGCTACTGTTTCTTATATACAAGAGTAYAAAAAAACTTAAATTTTTCATTGAATTGCTGTATTAATTATGACAATTTGATAAGATGAATCCACATTGTTTGAAATTTTCCAAAAATGTTCCTCTAAGCAATATAGAGCAAACCTGCTATTACCACCATGTTTGGTGAATGAGCCAAAGGCAGTACTTTTGAGAAATGTTATCTCATGTTGGTTGGACTGATATTAAGTCAGTAACTCAAAAATATATTATTAAATTTTGATATGCCTTATCAATACTGTTATAGTTCTTGTGACAATCATGTTCCTCCAAAAATAAATTCTAAAGCAGCATGCACGTTACCACCAGTGGCTCTTAAAGCTCGCAAGCTGACCTCATCATCTGTAATTCCCATGTCTYGCAACTGTTGCAGTTGAGTCTAAAGAAAATAGAAATGCTGTTTTATWTACCAGATAGATATTACAAACCAATGTTAAGTTGAAGAGCAAAGATATGAAACAAACTATAAAAGAATAATCTATGTGCATTTCATAGTATAAACCTGTAAATTTGTTGAATTGTTATCTTCTCTTGTTGATGAACGACTGCTACCTGCACCAGCCAAAGCACTTGCTATCGCCTCAGAGAACACTTCTCTTGAGATTTGTTGTGCAGATGCTGAACGTGTGGATGACCCTTCAGKAAAGCAACAAAACAAGTAAAAAAAGTTTGTTTAATACTAATTATAAGTGAATTTGAAGGAGGATTAGTGTATTTCTACCTTCACTAGTTGAAGGTGTTGGTAACCCAGCACTTGCAAGAGCAGAWGCCAACATTGAAGGAGTAACTTGCTGTGTTCTGTCACTTGTTCCTTGGGAAGATTGAATGCTTTCTTCTTGAGCTGCAATCATTTCAGCACGGGCCAGCATCTACAATGATAAAGCACTTACATATAAGCCCACAACCCTTTTAGAAAWTCCTTGATTGAAGTATTGTATTGACTCTGGCCAAGTCAGGCCCATTAAAATTATGTAATTAAAAATATTGTGCACCATTCTGGCTGAAGAAATAATGAAATGCAGCTTACCCCCGGCTCAACATCAGGCATGTCCTCATCAGCATCATTACCAGCATGAAGATTTCGGATACGTCCTGACCTTCCCTCTCCACCCTCTGTAGCTGTTGCTGCTGCTATGTAAGATGCTGCTTCCACTAAACATGGGTGTTGTTTAACAACCCTGAAAAAAACATGTCAAGGACTATTGTGGGTAACACATCACATATTAATATTTATGTATATTATTAGTAAATTAATAATAATTCATATATTATCACGATACAATGTATCTTACTGCTCAATATCAGCTGTTTCAATAACTTGCTTAAGCAGTTCTTGGTCTTGTAAAAGTGCTGGAAAATAAGGAAAAAATTAGTATCCCTGAGTTAGCCTATTTCMATGTTTTAAAATGCTCACCCATCGCTGTTAGATCTTCAGATAATCCTGGTGTTGCAGCAATGAGCTGTTCCATCATTTCAGGATTATTAAGGATCTTTTCAACCTTTAAGACATAAAAAATACCAAATTTAATGTTGTTAGGTTTCCTGTAAAGAAGGAGGGAGGGGTCTGACATATAATACTTACAGTTTTTCGATATGATGGACTTCTGATAGCTGCCTCAAGTACTTGCATAACATTTTCTACAGATGTGGTACTAGTCTCGGGCTCTTAAAGGCATGAATTAAATAGGATAAGTAGCTATTTGCAACCATAAACCCATGAAACAATAAAACTTTCACTTAAAGGTATTTGAGAATGGAATTACTATAAATGAAATAAAACAATATAACCAACGAGGTGTAATACTGTTTTTGCTGATACTCACGAACTGGRTTAGAAGAAGGGCGTTTTCTTATAACGAAAACAGTACAGCCATCAACTATTCCATAATTTCTCAGAGCACTATCGTCTTTCATAATCCTCCCACAATATATTAAATCTGTATACACACAAAATTGACACTTTCATGATAATATTCGAAATTTAAGCCTAGTTATGTCAAAATCGAAATAACCAAAGTGGTATTGTTGGAAGAACTATAAAAATTTACCCAACCTTGCTCGGTTTCAGGTATGTTTGTTAGTGGAAATGCCTTCGCTTTGATATCAGAAACTTTGTGATCCCATTCAATATCTTCCAGGCAATGCTTTGTAGGGCTCGAGGGCTGTTTTAAGCGAATGTGAGGCATTATTTTATAAAGAAATGTCGCCAAAAAATAGATTTTCAGAAAATTTTCATTCAAAAATAAAGAGCTATGTAGCCGCGCATTATAACAGTAGAGTAAGACTAGTCYGAGAACGCGATTGGTCAGTTTTATAAAACAGAGAGAAACATGGGGCTAGCATTCTATTGGTTGTTGAAAAGGAAGGCGCCTTTTTGGGGGAAGCGACTCTCAAAATCTTCCAAGTTTACGATGCGTTCTTTCTCACACTTCTGAAACTTACTGCCTTTAGTCAAATGGAAAACCAATTTTCTTTGTGGGACGTGGTTTGGGCGAGAGCAAGGAAGCCTAAAAGCGAGATTTTCTGGCCAGCGCAGGTAAATAAGACGTGTTTTATTACAGCAAATCAATGGGATAACACTATTTTGATTTGATATCGTGATTTCAAATCGATTTTATTCGATGTCTGAACAACGACTGATCTWCCTCTTCAATCTCATACACACGAGGCAGATTTGTATACATGTGCATTTCTACAACTGTAACTTTACAGTATTAAGGAAATACTAAGTTAWATAGAACTCGTCGCTGAAGATGAACAAAATATTGATTGAGTTTAGACTGTCTACATGTACTACATGTAGCTACTAGCCATGTGTCTAGGCCATCGATATCACATCTTAGCTTACTGTWACTAATAACCATTGTACAGGCACAAAATCCACTAGCTTGTATTAGTACTATCATGGTTGTTTGCTTAGCCATAATTTAATMTTTGAATATATTTAATTGTATTTACTTCATTATTGAACTTCACCAGGTTATTGAAGGGATCAGTACACCTACTCGTAGCAGGTCATCTAAGAAAATTATTGCATCTGTTAGATTCCTAGGAGAAAATACTGAGTAAGTGTGACATCTTTGAAACATCTTATCAAGTGTTACATAAAGTAAGATAATGTGATTAGCAGAGATCTTAATTTCATTTATGATTATATTAGAGAAGATGTCAAAAATCCTAAAGACATAAAGAGGTGGGACTGTGAGGAGCAACCTGCTTTTATTCAGAAAGGAAGAAGTGAGTACAAGTCTTTTAGAAGAATCTGAATCCACCATTACAGCATCACATCAGTTATCATGGCCACCTAAGCTACCTGTATTTTACTACTTCAGTAACTAGTGTGATTGCTGGTACTTATAGCTTTTCAAGCTGTCATATTATTATGTATATACATGCTTAAGTTATGAGTTTCTGATATTTAGTTTTGAACTCAAAGAGAAGACTTTTCAGCTTTCAGTATTACAAGTTTAGATATGGAATTTGTAGCATCAGCTATAATATTATTTTCAGTTTCTGGACAACCTCTATCTTGCAACATTGCCATATCCTTCTTCAGACCTGTTTGGTACAATGTACTTGAAACTAATATTGAACTGCATGAAAGAGCTCATCAGATTATTATTTACAATACTATTTGAAAAGCAGGTGCAACAATTTTAACTATCTTCTCATAATACCAGGTAAAGTTATTGATATTATATCATTTTATTTTCAGGTTCACTTAAGGATTCCAATGCAAAAATAGCCTTCAACAAAGGAATTAAAGAAGCCAGGAAACTAGTAAAAGAAGAGAATAATAATGCTGATAAGGAAGAAAAAACAAGTGCCATTTCAACACCGGTAAAATTTGTAGATGATAAAGCAATACCTTTGTCAGCAATAAGTCCCCAAAAAAGATGTAGAAAGCGTCCAGCAGAACAAGAAGCAACAGGGTTTAATGACAATATAAATCAGGATMAAGCTTGCAGAAATATTGATTTTGAAGGCACTTGTTGCAGTACTAGGAAAAGTCCAAGGAAACTGTCTGCTTCTTATACAACAAAAAAAGTTTGTAATGGCACAACAAGCAATAAAAACATTTCCAATGGTTCAGAAGGCAATTTATCACAGAGAAAAAGTCCAAAAAACCCACCTGAGAAAGTTATTGCAAAAAAGTCTAAATCTTTTAAAGAGAAGAGTAATCGAGGGAAAAGAAAAAGAGAGAAATCACCAAAGAAGGACAGTTTAAGCATACTTTGTGAAGATTTGCAACAAGGTTGTTTAGACTCAAATACTGACACAAAATTAGTCTTAGATAACAGTGTAAAACAAAAAGCAACAAAACAACTTTTTCCAGAGATGGACACTGAAACTACRTCTTATAACTGTGATGAAATTCATATTGAAAATGGACATGGTATAAATTTATCAAATGGTGAGGAGACTGCCAAGAAAACTGAAGATTCTGACTCTGATGAAAGTTCAGATAGAGAACTAATGGAAACTGTTCTTGATTCTTCGCCAAGCAGCAAAAATTTGAAGTTTGCATTGAATGATGTTGTTTGGGCAAAGCTTAATCGAGATCCWTACTGGCCTGCCGTGGTAAGTATGCATGGGAAACTGCCGGTGCACAAAATATTATTCACAGGATCAAGAACTACTTAGACATGGTAGTACTGATACAGTAGGTTTCACAATACTGTAGAGTTAACATAATCCTGTTTTCTTTTCAGGTGAAAAGAATTCAAAAAAAGCCCAAGAAGATTTATGTTAAGTTTCTTGGATGTAATGACAAACGAAGGTATTGTACGGTACAATGTGCAAGTATTAATAAGTTGGGAAATATTATTATGTACAGAAGGCATTTTGTGTTCAATGGTATACATATATAACTAAGATGGTTGTCACAGCTTACTCTTTACCACCTCATGATTTCTTTAATTTGATTATTACTCAACTTCAGTTTTTCCTGCAACAAACTACAGCCTTTTGCTTGTGATGCTGATAAACGTCAAGAATTTATTGTAAGTGATACTGTAGAAGATATTGGTATTGAATAAACTTTTTATATGTACTCTTTYAGGCTAGAGCTATGTTTACCTGCTRTATGTTTTAGAGCGGATTTCATATGAGTGGGACACCGTTACCGCACGGTTACTGCACAGTTACCGTACCTGGCCTGCACAATTTTGGTGAACCAATGGGGCACTAGAATTTGGTTATAGTACGATTACAGTCACAGTACAGTACCATCCTTTTCCCACTCATACGAAATCCGCTCTACTATAAGTGGGCTCAAAGAGGCTATATTGCTGCATTGAGCACATGAAATCCCTACATTTCTGATGACTCCTACCCATTAACTTTGCAATGACATGTATCTTGACCATAACAAGTGAACAACTTCAATTTTTAATTCAGAGTGAGTGTTCCAAACATGATCCATCTTATTTTCAAAATGCTTTTACTGAGGCTGAAGATCTTGTAAGAAAGAAAGGTATAGTATCTTGACRGTTACTGTTTAAATTTGGTGTGTAAAAAGTTTAGTGTTAACACCTTATAGTTAGTGGGAATTAAGCTGCGTTTGGGAGGAAAAACAATAGATTCTAGTTCCTAGAGGAAAAGTGTTTTGTTTTGTCTTCCATATAAAGCTGTCTTGATATGAAATGTCGGGRGTCGATAAGTCTAATATAATTTGCCATGTTGAGCGTAGTTTTTTTTGTCTTTCTTTCCAGCTCTTGGAATAAGCATTGAACCAGATGATGATGAAGGTAGGACAAATACATCTCAATTTTTATTGAAAGCTTATATAATATGATGCTTTCTGTTTTCTCTCAAATGTCAGAATTTGAAATGGTCGACACAGAAGAACCAAAAGCTCAGGAACAAGAGGAAAAAGTATCAACTTCTTATGAATTAACTGAAATCCCAGAGGAAGAAAGTAAAGATGTGAGAAGATCAAAAAGATCAAAAAAGTAGGATATCAGATGATAGTTAAATGTCTATGTGCACAGAGATTGTTAAAACATACAGTTTTGGAAGTTTATACTGGATAATAAACCTATTTGTGCTTTGGGTTTTTGATTCAAGTTAAAAGAGCTTTGATGTTTGTTGTTGTTGTGATTGAAACAATATTCTTCAGGAGAAATGATTTAAAATTGATGTAACATAAATGTCTCTTCTCTTAGACAAGTTTCCAAGTATAATCGAGACATGTTATCTTACATCAGAGAAGCAAAGGTTTGTATTGGCAATACTAGTAAAACCCATTCAATTTCTTTACTGATTGCAATGATTATATTTAGAGTRTGAAAAGTCACTAAAAGTGTGCAAAATTCTACATATTTAGCATATTTTATTATGTCCTTATGTGTAACACACTGCATGAACTCTATTTTGTGTATGCTTTAGTCACAAAATGTATAATATTAAAGGAAGTATTGATTGTAATTGTGCTTCTCTTTTACAGCCAATACTCAGAGAAATATTAGAAGAGAAACGGCCTTGTGAAAGACACAAAATATTTACCACAGGAAGATCAAAAGAAAGGTCATCTTTAAAACGCAAGTCTGGCTTTGGTCCAATATCTGACTCAGATTTGGTTAGTACTTATAGCATTGCTATTATTTTGCCTGGGCTGCCTGATATATTAGCAAAAAATGATGTACAATCTACATTGAGAGGTCCCTTCATTTCAAACAGTGAGAATAAAGAAAAGTAAAAATAACTGAGTTATTSTTTCACCCATTAATGCAAAAAAAATAAWCATTTTTTTTACAGGAACATGAAATTGGGGAGATATTGACAGAATTTTACAATGAAGTTTCAAGCAAGAAAAATGATTTTTCACAAACTTCTTATGTAATGGATGTTTGGTTGCCAGAAGTAAGTGAACACAGGGAACAATTTAGAGTAATACTACATGATGATCAAACAATACTCCTCTTCTATTTTCAGGCAATTATATTCGCGATACAGAAAATTGATTGTGTTGATCGCAAGAAAGCAGAATTGATATTCAACAAGGGAACAAGTGAATATTGTGATTTYGCCCATGAGGAATTAATCCATCAATTTAAAGAGAAACCACTTTCAGACGAAGACAGGCAGGCTGTTATTGAAAGAGCTGAAAGGCATATGCAAACTAGAAACTAAATTGGATTTTCTCAATTCTTCCAAAAAGTGTTATTGCAAAATCATTTATGTTGTGGTACTATGGATGAATGCAGAATATTACAAGTTTAATTTGGTACTGAATACCAAAGTGTGTTAGATGATACAAATGATAGTTCGAGCTGTGCTTATC